CTAGACTCTAACAGAGGAGACACATTTTCATCCGAGAAACTGCACCAAATACTTTCAGGGAAAATACTACATCAAACAGACACATTCCTAACTCTGTATTCTTTCCAGGCCATCATTCGAAGTCATGGAGGGCTGGCTGGAGCGCTTAGTCCGCCATCTCAGCGCACCAGCCGCGCCTGACACCACCTTGCTATCTGACATCTTGAAACACGCCGCCGAGTTGGAGCACCAAGCTCAGTGCAGCTGCACTTGCGATGGGAACGCTTGCAACGTCAGCGGGTGCGGCGGCTGCAATGACTGCGACGACTGCGGACGGAAGGAGGACGTGAAGACTGAGTGCGAGATTGTCAAGGTGAGTGGCTTATAGTAAAGCCCAGTCCGTGAACACGTAGAATTTTGTCCAATGACCCCTAGCTACCCATCTTTATCACTCGCGCGTAATTATATTGCTGTCGCGACTGTGCGACTGGCACCCGCAGTGAGTGTGCGAGCGCGATAGCAACATAATTACGCGCGAGCGATAAGGATGGGTAGCTAGGGGTCATTGGACAAAATTCTATGTGGTCACGGACCGGGCTTTAGTTAGAGCACCAAGCTCAGTGCACCTGCACTTGTGATGGGAACGCTTGCAACGTCAGCGGGTGCGGCGGCTGCAATGACTGCGACGACTGCGGACGGACACGGGAGGACGTGAAGACTGAGTGCGAGATTGTCAAGGTGAGTACCTTATAGTAGTGATACTTAGTGGTCTTTCTGTTGGTTGACATCTTTAAACACGCCGCCGAGTTAGAGCACCAGGCTCAGTGCACCTGCAGTTGTGATGGGAACGCTTGCAACGTCAACGGCTGCGGCGGCTGCAATGACTGCGACGACTGCGGACGGACACGGGAGGACGTGAAGACTGAGTGCGAGATTGTCAAGGTCAGTGGCACTAACGCCCGTGTTCATAAACGTTGCTTGCTTAAGTGGAGCAGCAAATCAAACGCACAGCGTTGAATAGAGCTGTGATTGGTTCGTGTGTCACCCTGTGCGTCCACGCGCACTGTGAGACCTCATAGTAATGTTTGTGAAAGTGGTTTCTCTGTTGGATGACATTCTCAAACATGCCGCCGAGTTAGAGCACCAAGCTCAGTGCAGCTGCACTTGTGACGGCAACGCTTGCAACGTCAACGGGTGCGGCGGCTGCAATGACTGCGACGACTGCGGACGGACACGGGAGGACGTGAAGACTGAGTGTGAGATTGTCAAGGTGAGTTGCTTATAGTAAAGGCCGGTCCGTGAACACGTAGAATTTTGTCCAATGACCCCTAGCTACCCATCCTTATCGCTCGCGCGTAATTATATTGCTGTCGCGACTGTGCGACTGGCACCCGCAGTAAGTGTGCGAGCGCGATAGCAACATAATTACGCGCGAGCGATAAGGATGGGTAGCTAGGGGTCATTGGACAAAATTCTACGTGCTCATGGACCAGACTTTAGTGGTACTAACGCCCGTATTCATAAACGTTGCTTGCTTAAATGAAGCAGCAAATCGAACGCACAGTGTTGAATAGAACTGTGATTGGTTAGTGTGTCACCCTGAGCGTCCACGCGCACTGTGAGACCTCATAGTAATGTTTGTGAAAGTGGTTTCCCTGTTGGATGACATTCTCAAACACGCCGCCGAATTAGAACACCAAGCTCAGTGCAACTGCACTTGTGACGGGAACGCTTGCAACGTCAGCAGCGGCTGCGGCGGCTGCAATGACTGCGAGGACTGCGGACGGACACGGAAGGACGTGAAGACTGAGTGCGAGATTGTCAAGGTAAGCTGCTTATAGCAGTGGCACTAACGCCCGTGTTCATAAACGTTGCTTGCTTAAGTGAAGCAGCAAATCGAACGCAAAGCGTTGAATAGAGCTCTGTGATTGGTTCGTGTGTCAAGGTAAGTGCAAGTGCGGTTTTGTTCCCCAGTCGATGAAGCACCTGATGTCGTGCCCTGAGTGCCCAAGCAACTGCACTCAGGAGGATTTGATGAGTGCTGCTGACAATGCCACTCTTGTGGCGGAGTTTTGGGCTGACACTGTGTAGGTTTGTTGTCGACACGATAAGAAGAAGAAGGTAAGTTGCTTATAGTAGTGGTACTAACGCCCGTATTCACAAACATTGCTTGCTTAAGTGAAGCGGCAAATCGAACGCATAGAGAGAATAGAGCTTTGTGATTGGTTCGTGTGTCACCCTGTGTGTCCATGCGCACTGTGAGACCTCATAGTAATGTTTGTAATAGTAGTTTGTAACTCATAGTAACTCAGTCAGTGTCTGAGGTATGAGAGTGGCATGAGAGGGGTGACATTGACATAATATGACGAGACAGAGCATAATTGAGTCGCTTAACTTCAAACTTGGATAAATCCAATTCTAAGATTTTTTGAGATTTTGGTGTCAAATCAAAGAGAAAAAAAAATGTTTTAAAAATTTTTATCAGTCGTGTATAAATCAGCGTGGTTCTTGAGAAATAAGCCGTTAAAGTCGTAATATTTTATCTAAGACAGATAGATTCATGAGACATTTTTTTTCAAACGTAGCTAAGTCCATGAGAGCCAATCAGGTAATTGCGTTTCTTCAACATGGCCGCCAGTTGACGAAAACTCAGCGACCAGTGGCACCATGCGCTCCCGGTTTCATTTACATTCATTAACAAAATATAATTCACATTTATAAAAACTAATGTCAGAAAACTCAGGGTCAATAATTACATTAATGTCAATTCAAGAATAATAAATTAAAAATACTAAAATTACCTATATAATGTCAACTACATTGTACTTGGTATGTCAAAAGTATTAGATTTGGACTACATACATTACAAACACATGAAACTGTCCAGGAGGAATTCGCTAATCGAATAATACGCCTTATCTACCAACAACTTATGAAGACATTCCCTGAACGAGAATAAGTCCTCCTTATTTCTTATACCCTGTGGCAGTTTATTATTAAATACGGGGTGCCATTCCTGAAATATTTTTCGTAAAAAGAGTCGTTTTGTGGATTTGTGCGCATATCCTGTTTTTGTGACGTTTGCTGTTATGAGTAGGAAACATACTTGGGTTTTTACGAACGAATAAACATATTTCCTCTATATATATTGATGGAAGAGTTAACAAATTTAATGATTTAAAATGGGGCTTACAACTGTCTCTAGGTTTAAGTTGACAAACTGCTCTTACGCATTTCTTTTGTGCTCTGAAAGCGACGTCTCTATCAGTGGAGTTTCCCCAAAATATAATACCATAGCGGATAGTCGATGAGACGTATGCATGGTAGGCGATTAACACTGTGGACTGGCTCACTACTTTAGATATAATAATAATAATAATAATAAATAATAATAAAATCATTTATTNACAGAATTTGCTAACAATTAATACACAAAAAACGTCATATATGATCTTTTCTGCAAAAAATAAAGTAATACCCAAATATAATGCGCTGAGAATAAATAACGTAACTATCAAAAGATCCTACCAGGAAAAGTACTTAGGGTTACTTATAGATGACAGATTAACTTGGAGACCGCACATTGACTATGTTAAATCAAAACTAACATCATTACTAGGAGCACTTCGAAAGATTTCACATTGTATTCCGAAACAAATTAAACATACTGTCTACAATTCCCTGGTAAAATCTCATTTGGATTATCTTATTGAAATTTGGGGATCTGCTGCACCAACCAATATTCATCCATTACAGAGAACCCAAAATAAAATTGTTAAAGTCTTATTCCATTATCCTTTCCACACGCCCACTAATGAACTATACGTAAAAACTAAATTATTTAATTTATCACAGCTATACNGAGCGTAACTATCTATTTTTTGAAGAAGTGACTCTGGATCCTTCTAAAGAAACATTTTTGGGGTAAAAACCTTTACTATAATGAAATGAAGTTTAGAACTAGGCTTTTGAATGGTACCAATATTGGTGTGAAGTGGGGATGCATACGTTTGAAAGTGCTTGTCGCGGGTGGTGCGATTTATTTGCTGTCGAGTGTATATTTGACAGTTTTGTCAAAACATCCAGTGTTCCAAAGGCTGGCTCGTGCTTAGTTTTTACATTTTCCCCCTGTAATTAGAACAGTGGATCTGCATATTCTTCTTCTTGGCTTCTGTGAATATTTTAGTATTCTGGCCTCCAATGAAATTTTGCCTAGTTCACAGGCGGGCCAGCATGGACAAGATAATAATTATGTTTGAGCCATTTTCTCGAGGCTACATACACTCAATTTAACTTAATTGCTTACTTTGGGGCTAGATAGCGCTGTGTGAAATTGTCCAAAGATAATATACACTTATTACATAGTGCATATGTATTACAAAAACAGCATCTTCAGTTTCAGAAATACAAAATGATAAATAAAAACAAAAACATATTAGGTATTACCAAATCGGGTATTCTATTGTTTTTACAATGGTTATTAAAATTAACTGAGATTCGAGTTGCGGTAAGGAATGCTAGTATTAGGTGAGTAAAAAATATAAAAAATAACTTGAGGATTAAATAAAAAGAAAAAAATAATAATAAAAAATATGAACAAAAAAAGGGAAATATAAAATAAAATGTGAATTTACTAGCATTCACCCTTTTCATCCATGTCCAAAATAAAAATAAGTAATTTATTATTTAAATATTTATTTATTACTATTGTAGTGCTTAAGCATATCCTCGAATTCATCAACGTACATACATTCCAACAAGTTTCTACATACTTGTGGAAATATCATCACTTGCATATATGTACGTGATCAACTTTAAGGATATCACTTTCATACGGCAGTCTCCGATATCATCGACGTCATCGTCTTCTGCATCCTCTTTATAATAAAACGAAGACTGCCTAGATCCAATGATACTTTCAGTAGGTAGCAGCATCCTTCATGGAAAGAAGTGAAAATATACTAACTCTAGCAAAGCGTTTACTCATTAGCTTAACATTGGCACAATGGATTCTGATTTACCTTTTTTTTGCGTACCATTTACGATTTTCGTTATGGCCAAGCCATTAGTTATCTGAGATTCAAAAGTGGAGCGATCCTGCGAACAAAAAACAAATTACAATTAAAACAAAACAAATTTTTGATGATTTCCTGGTAATTTTCACTAATCATTACTTTGTGTATTAATTTTGAACTGATTGTAAAGTTTAAAAAAAATAGTTCTTTTAAGTTAAGTTTAAGTTACTTACCCTTGGGTGAACGAAGTCGATGAATGATCTGCCTACCCACATGTCTTTGGGGAAGCCAAGGGTGGCCGTCAGCGATGATGTGGTATACATGACCACTCCGTCATGCATCGATATCACACACGAGAATCCGTCCTGCAAATGGTTGATGACATTATCTAAAATATGAAACCGATTTCGTGATACAATAACATTTTAGTAGCAAACTCTTCGATATGCAACCGGCATTGTGCGTGCAAGTCACACAGACCACGATACCAAGAACTAAGATTGTTTACAAGTTGAATGTACACACAGCACAGTGGGCGTATTCTGGTTATGACACTACTTTTATACCGCACGAAAAAAGAGTGATTTTTGAAGTACAACTGTTGCATTTGACCGATCATCGAGTGACCATGTTTGTAAGGAGTAATCGCTAGAAGCATGAACCAATTAAGGAAGTTATTTTAATAACATAAAGTTACCTAGAATCCTATACTATAGACTGTTGTTAGCCTAGTAAACTAGTCAATACAACAAAATTATGGTACATAATTATGTTATTCTTTGAATACACCAATTGATATTTGCCTCACTAAAATTTATGTCGATCTGTCTTTCTGTACGCACATGAACCTAACTCAAAGCACTATTCAACGCTGTGCATTCGATTTGCTGTTACACTTAAGCAAGCATCGTTTGTGAATACGGGTTAGTAAGGGGACTAGTTCGGTGATAGTGTTTTAAAGTGACGTTTAGTATGGAATTGTCATTTTAAAACAGTGTTCAACAATCGTGTAACTTTTTATTAGTAAGGGGACACCCCCTTTATTGGTACACACCAATAAAGTGGTTTTAATTAAGCCTCCTCAATATGAGGTAGCCATAGCACACATTCGTGCAGGTTTCGTGTAAACAAATGCCTTGTGCCACGTGACGCCTAGCATGACACGAGGCGCCCGAATTAAGCAGCTCATGTGTACACTCGTAATTATTGTCCTTAACGTGTCATTTGCTTCGGAACCACCAAACCGAACGGAACAAAAATCGATATATGTCCTTAAGACACCTCCGATCTGATACACAAAGGACAACTATGCAAAATACTATAATATGGAGTACATAAATCGTGACATTTCATTTAAGGGCGTAAAATGGAAAATCAAAAACCTCGATTTAATTATAACATTTAGACAAAATATCTATAACTGGGACTAAATCGAGTTGTTGTTGTTTTGCAATACAGACCTTAGCAATGACGCAAACAGTCTAAAACATTTCCCTAACGACAAAGTTTGTAAGAACTAGGGCACCTGATTTTCTTCCTGCCCTGTTTTTCAATTCGAGAAGACTTTTAAGTCCTTTTAAGACTTAGCGCGTTTCGAGGTGAGCGATCACTTCAGTCACAGTCTAAAGATTTCATATAAGTACTCAAAACTTTGTCAGAGCTAGGGTTTCTGATTTTCCTACCAATTTTTTCTATTCGAGAAGACTTGGACCTTGGACCTTCATTGTGACTTTCTGACGCTAAACGTATGTAATGTTGCATTTCGATGTAGGCAAGACACGTTTAATTGTGTACCTATACAATTAAACGATTTCACACATTTATCAAAGATTTCACAAGCGCAAAAGTTTTACGAGCTAGGGTTTCCGGTTACACGACCAATTTAGACTTTTTGAAGCAAAACCTACGTAACGTAGACATAGCGCGTGTCGACGTGGGCGAAATGCGCAGCGTGCACGTGTCTCGGACAATGGGACATCCGTATAAATGCGACCCTTTGAGAACATTCGCAGAGTTTGTTGCGCCTTTTGTTCCCGCGTTTTCCCGAAAACAAAAATAACGTGCAAATGAGCCTTTTAAATACCTCTATTATACATAGTTAATACTGTGTGCTGAAAGCTATTTGTAATTGCAATATTAATCGTTTCAATTGTTTTAAGAAGGGACTTGTTTCGACTTCTTCTTACTACGTAGGGATATTAGTACTAAGCCCGCTTTCAATTATCATACAGAAATCTTCTAATTTATTTACTGACAAATAAGCTATATTTAACACCTATAAAAAATAATATAGTGTAAATAATTATGAAGTATTCTTACGGAACTGAACGTCGGGGTAGTGCGATTGACGACGACGTTCATAGATGGTGTTCCCAACTGGAGGTTACTGGTGGATGCAACCTGAAAATTACAAGTGTTTTAAACGTTATTAGCCTTTGCACAAAATACAGTAATATAAGACTTATCATCATCATGTTTTGAGACATCTTACTTCCTCTTTACTCAGCAAAGACTCTGGCGAAGAGATGTCCATGCTCTCCGGACCTTTTTCAATGTGCGATAGCGCTGGCGAAGGCAACTCGATAACTGCAGAAAAAATTACAGACGGAAGATAAACATGAACCTACAATGTCTTAACATAATCTGAAAAAAAGGCACATCACTAACTCTACGTCTTCGAGGCAAAAATTTGAAAATTAATCTGACATATACATACCAAACAAATGCGACCGAACCCCATATGTTACCTGGGACAATGTCTACATTGGCCCCTAAATCTCGACGCCTTGAACCTATAGAATACATATAAGGGAGTACATTTTTATAACAAAGACTATATTGTCAGTAATTCGGTTCCTTTGGCCTCTCTGTAACGATAGTAGATTGTTTTACATAGTGCAAGAAGGTTGACTATCACCATAGTCACCATCAATAGATGAAATGTTCCACTAGTCGATGGAACGGTAGGAGCATGTCAAGCTTAACAGTTACAGAGGAACCAGCAATGAGGATCAGTACTGTTGTAGAAAATTCAATAAAACTAGTATCTACGTTAATCTTTAAGACATAAGAAAGATATATCTTTTTGAATTATCCAAATCGGACCATTACTTATCAAGTCATATGAATAAATCGCCAAACATACCACCGCGGAGACCCCAATCGCGTCTCTGCGTTCCATTGAATCGTATGAGCGTATGGATTTTCTGCGTAATTTTACACAATTTCTATTTTTAAAAATTACCCATCGATAGCTTACTTTTTTCTCTAAAACTGATAGTTTGGCTAGAAAAAAATATTTTCTATCCACGCAGTACGCCGGCAGCGTTCGGATCGGATATAGTGACGTCATCGTCCCCGCGCCGGGCGGTCAGTGAACTTTTTTAGTAATTTGGCCATAACTTGTCGTAGAACAAATATTTTTGGACTGTGTATTAAGGATTTCTTAGCCCTATAAATCTGCATTCACAGCTAAAAATCGAAATGATCCTCATTGTTGGTGAAACGATCAAAAGAATGTCAAATTTAAATACATAGTTATGTAGTATCGAAAAAGAGTGGCTATGCGATCGTTAATCGTCATATTACTTTCAAAAATTCATTAAGAAAAATGCATTCCCTTCAGTTAATTCAATAAATTAATGAGTTTTAGGAACCAACCAACCTTAACAAAATATTTGTTTTGATGTATAATAAAATTATGTAAGTACTTATTACGAAGGAAGAAACGAGTTATTAAAACCCTTGAGCAGATACTATAAATGAAGAATTTTAAGACGCAATCCCTTCAACGTTTAGACACATTTGTGCCACTGTAACCGCTAAACGTTATTCTAAGTCACACCGATCAAACCTCCACCGAACAATACAAAAATTACGAAGAACATAATCATGCACAAATTGGTACCAAAAATATTATATTTTCATAAATATCTACATAGCTGTCAGACAAATAAAATATAAGTTAAATATTTTCATAAATATCTACATAGCTGTCAGACAAATAAAATATAAGTTAAATATTATAAGTGGTATGTATTCGAAACACCCATTATAATAATAGTTACAGTCTTTAAATCCCCCTAGTACCTAATTAATAAATGTAAAACTCGGACAACTTATTCAAGTTGAACTACTGATTTGTTTCGCACATGATAAACTTAAGTATACCTAATGATAAATGCTTAATGAACGAATAACGTCAATACGACAATAACTATTCACTCAGAGTGCTAAAAGTAATGCACACACACAAGCTTTCATAAGTGATGCAACGAATATCCATTAATTGTATTCGTCGAATAGCACGAGATTAGCGAATTCCTGATGAAGTTTGCATAAATAAATAGTCCAGTCAATAAAGCATTATAGATGCTTTATTGACTGGACTTTATTTAGACTTTATTTAGACTAGTTAGGAGGTGAACATAGCAAAAGTCCCCGCCCTTAGCCCTTGAGCCGGCGGGGAGAGGGGAGTTTAAAGGTACTACTTTTCGGTTTTTCGCTTAATCCTCGGAAACTATGCGTCCTAGTGACATGACTACTATGAACCAAAAAAATATTATTCAATTTGCTACAGGTGAGACAGTCAAGTTTTTCTATATCTTTTATAGTTTTCACGGCATCTGCTCTTGAAGGTTTGTAATATTGGAAATTTTGTTTTTGTCTTACATGTTCCCATCAGGAGAAAATCGACTAAATCAACATTAAGCCAACATTTTAGACATGCGGGAGCATGTTAAGCCTAGTTCCAGGGAGGGGACTGAACCGTGCGTATATTTAGACGACCCAATTGGAGCCACTTTTGACTCCTCATCACTCAAAAACTACTGTGCATTAACACTTCAAATTTAGCACATGTGTTGAGACTTGCAAAATAAACATCAGCTTCAAATTTCATAAATATACCTCATACGGTTATTTAGGTATTGACGTCCAAAAATCTACAATCTGACTCATAGACCAAATTCTAACAACTTCCAGATGACCTTGAAGGTTCAAATTTGGCATCCAGGTAGGTAGATGTGTAAATACAAAGGAGCAAATAAAAAACCAGTAAATTTTAACTTTTCACAGGTGATAGATAGATTTTAGTGTTCTAAATGTCGATTTTTGAACGTCAATACTTAAAGGCATGTATTTAAATGATCTTTTTAAATTAGCAAAAACGGCAAATAAAAAAATCTAAATGGTCATCTATTTTAATGATTGATCCTCTTTCTTTGAGACATAAAATAAATGAAATCGATCGATATTTTAACCTCTTTTGAACTACGCAAAAAAAAATTGAGATGTAAAAATTATATCTGATCGTTACTTGTTGGTCCTCAAAAATAAAATAAATGAGCATCAAATATTCAATATTGTGATACTTTTTTAAATAATTCGATTTGTATAAATTATTTTTTGTCTATATCAAATAATCTTCAAAATAATTATGTTATGGTATGAGGTATATTTATGAAATTTGAAGCTGATGTTTATCTTGCAAGTCTCAACACATGAGCCAAATTTGAAGTGTTAATGCACAGTAGTTTTTGAGTGATGAGGAGTCAAAAGTGGCTCCAATTGGGTCGTCTAAATATACGCACGGTGCAGTCCCCTCCCTGGAACTAGGCTTAACATGCTCCCGCATGTCTAAAATGTTGGCTTAATGTTGATTTAGTCGATTTTCTCCTGATGGGAACATGTAAGACAAAAATAAAATTTCCAATATTACAGACCTTCTAGAGCAGATGCCGTGAAAACTATAAAAGATATAGAAAAACTTGACTGTCTCACCTGTAGCAAATTGAATAATATTTTTTTGGTTCATAGTAGTCATGTCACTAGGACGCATAGTTTCCGAGGATTAAGCGAAAAACCGAAAAGTAGTACCTTTAAACTCCCCTCTACCCGCCGGCTCAAGGGCTAAGGGCGGGGACTTTTGCTATGTTCACCTTCACCTCCTAACTAGTCTAAATAAAGTCCCGAGGTCAGAAATTGTGTTCCTCGGATTTCTATCTACACCGTCGTTAAAGCATTCATTGACTGCACTAAAACACAAAATGTTCAAACACATTTAACCCTTTCAATGTGACCAGCCCTTTTCAAGAAAGCTAATTTATTTCAACTGGAGAGGAAAATTTTGGGAAAACAAAATAATCGCGACTCCCAAAAATGTGAAAGTGTTGTTATTTTTAGATAAAACACAATTAGAATATGGAAAAATCATCACATTTATAGTAAAATCAAATATTCGCATTAGCAACAAAGTACAATCGGCACTTGCATTCTTATTCGTAAATAATATTCGTTGCATCACAAGGTGTAAACACTGTCTAAAAGTACGACACTTAACTAATACAGGATGTAAAGGATAGTTTGGTAAGAGCTAAAACATTACTCGTATTTCAGATATACACATAATAAATTCAATACATTGTACGAACATAGTATTTTAAAATTAAGATATCGTCTATGCCTGAATTTAAATCGAAGCAATAATTCCTGCACAAGAAAGCTGAGTGAATTTATTTATATCACATTATCAACCGTCGTATGTTATTGTTTCTTTAACGCCGAGGGATTCAGTGTTTATTAGTTCAACACTAATTACGTTCTTCACAAATAGAAGTTACCTACTTCATAAATCACCATAAAATTACAAGCTTTTAATACGCAACAAATCATAACTTCAATTCCAGGAAAAGCACTGGTTACCTAAAGCGTTATCTAACTCATTGTTGAAGTTTCAGCAGACCTTTCCTTTTCACCCTGTATTGCTAGTGTTATGTCAGACTTAACGTTGGTTTCATACACTATTTAGGGTTAATTGTAATTAATAGTCTATGGAATAATAATGAAGGTCACCCACCATCGCTGACCTCCTCCTTCGGAGCGTCCAACGCCGGCACCGGCTCCGAGGGTTGACATTCAGCAGCAACCTCTGCCTTCTCGGTGATTATTTGCACATGCTTCTTCTTTTTGGGTTCCTTCTCTTTGGTCCTCTTCTCCGGTGGTTGGTTGCTACATAACAATAAATATTGTCACAGTGTAATCATTCTGGGTACCCGTGGGCCACTATGAATACGGTTAAAAAATTCATTTTATTCTAAAGTCAGGATTGCAACAGCTGAAGTTGAAACTCTGAAGTCAGAATGTTTCTAATGAGCAGCTAAAGTCTGACTCACAAGATAATATCGCCACAAAATTATTAAAGTATTTAGTTGTAGTTGTAAACTTGTACACTAAAATAGTGTAGATTTAGTCTTCGACTAAAGTGAGGGTTGTTTCAGCCGACGTCCTGGAGTCAGAATGTTTCTAATGAGCAGCTAAGGTCCGACTCACGAGATAATATGTCTTCTGAGACAAGCAGGTACTCGTATAATCCTTCTATGTACTAGGTGCAGGTTGACGGCTATATGTCGTAGTCCTATATGGTAGCTTGAAGAAACCACTATGGGACAGTGCAGCGTGTGTATCCCGCGCCGCTCGACTAAAGTATGCACCTTAGCTCAAAATGGTTGGCGTCCGATCGGGACTGATTAGGGAATCTAGTGCCGAGCCTAGCCTTCGAACGCTAAGGCTTCGCCGAGGGCACCGACGGTTGCCGCAACCCACAAGTTCCCTTGATTCCCGCTAGTATAGTATGTATGCCTTAAATGCACTCCTTGTCGTCGCAAAAAACCCATAACCAAAGTGCCAAGCTTACGTCGAGAGAGTAATATCTCACTACTGGCTACTAGGTACGTTATAGGTATCATTATGGTAAGTATCAAAAGTTTTATATACGGCAGCACATTAAACTACACAAAATGACAAATTGTAGAAAAAAATACATTTCGTGTTTGCTCAAATTGTTCTAATGGCGACTGTACATAAAATGAAGATACCTAACCAAAATATTTACTAACCTGCTCCCTGATGTGGATGGTTGCCCCCCATATCCACTACTTCCACTGGAGTTGCTGCCAGAATGCGTCGATTTGGAGCTGTGACTGCAAAATAATAATCCTGTTATTACGTGACAGGATACGGCATTATGACCTGCCTCCCTCGTTCAATCATTGAACACGCCGAGCGGATGCATTTATTCGTATGCAGTCTGATAAAATAATGTTGTCCACGGTCAGTGTTCTCAGGCGTCAAATGTATTACGTAAGGATGTTTTTATTTATTTAAAACTAGCTGACCCGGCGAACTTTGTTCCTCCTTAATGGCAATAAATAAGCAGACTTTTTTTTAAATTTCGAACGGGATAAAAAGTATCCTATGTCCTTCTCCTGGCTCTAAACTACCTCCCTGACAATTTTCAGCTAAATCGGTTCAGCCGTTCTTGAGTTATAAGTGGAGTAACTAACACGACTTTCTTTTATATAGGGTCCTTCTAAATCAGCTACGTTCCGTTTAATGGGAGCATGTATACGTCACACTGAATACGTTCCCAAAGTTTGAGCCAAAATTCAGGCTAGTTTCCCAGATAATTAAGGAAACAACTTCATTTCTTATCAACCCAATACAACACCCTGTTCAGCTGATTCACTACTACAGTGACAAAAATCCGCACGCACACGAGCTTACGTAATGGCCGCCATTGCGCTTGTGCTGCCGTTGGGCCACTGGCCGCGAACACAAGAGTGCCGCCGGACGACGGACCGGGCGCCACACAAGCTATTCTAGGGCTACTACTAGTTATTTAAGGAATGAAATTAAGCAGAAAATTAAAGTTTATTTATTTTTGGTAACATAAAAAAATCTTATGTGGTAAGTACTTATTTAGTGGCCTTAACCCTACAGTGGTCGCGCGGATTACACCCGTAATCCACTCGTGCAAATTGTCGAATATTTTGAAATCGGTCAACGCGATCGTTTTGATACTTCGTGTACTTTAAGTTGCATAGTCGCAGATCACATTTTATGACGTGTGAGCACCAGGTCTCTTGTGGATGTGTCGCAGGAGCCCCGTAAATGCCGATGGTCTACCCGTGTAATCCGCGCGACCAATTACGTAAGTATTTTTTAAGTTACCTTTTTTAATTAATGTGTTTGTTTTTGCATTATTAGTATAAATTAATGCTTTATAATAAATATTTACGGCATAGATATGTATTTACATTTGTGTTTTCAATAAAATCATTGTATTTTAGATAAAAATCATGAACAATAGACAAAAAGCACAAATTGCAGAATGGCTAGAAGTAATTGACAATGAAAGCGTATCTTCTGGCGACTCTTCGGTTTCTGATGAAGAAGTGCACATTCTTCCACAAGAGAACAAGTTTCTCAGACCAGTGATTAGCCATCTAACTCAGAACCATCACAGCGGAGTTTTTAGGTCGCTACTTTGACTGCGGAAGAAAGCGAAATCAAAGTACTGGAAATACTTGTAATTCGTGCAACTTTATTTGTCCTTATCATTCCATGATGGCCTGTATCTCCTGTTCAAAATACAATGAATAAATAAGTGCAATTAGTACTGAATAATTTCTAAACTGCCAAAGACGACATTTTCTTGATGAAAAATGATGATTTTTATGTTTTGGTTAATTTATAAAAACTAAGAAGAACTGCTCGTTTCTTTGTTTGATTATTTCATTAACTAATACATAACAATAAATAAAAAAAATAAAGAAACATGTTTTTATAAAGAGATGTCTTCTTTTTTTACTCCATAAAATGGCTTACGCCTGTAATCCGCGCGACCATTAACGTAATATTTTAGAGCGCGACCACCGTAGGGTTAATGGAATGATGTTTCTTCAAAAATTCGTTAAAATACTTTTGCGCTTGTAAAAATCTTTTATTTCAAACGTAGCAACGAAACGAAGCAAAAAAGTTAGTTGCCGAAATCAATGACTTATTTTTATGCCATACACAAATAGGATAGTTACCATGACTATGAAATTTAGAATTACGGTTATTATTACGATAAAGCAGGCACATTTTTCGTGTTAATTTTAATCGCTTAATATCCCCTTAGCATATTAAAAATGTGATTCGTAATTGACTCGATCATAGCAGAAACTAAACGCTATCGAATTATCTACCTGTGATTATCGGCAGTCTTTAGTATTCCGAAGTAAATAAGTAAATAATTGTTTTGTTCCCAACTATCAATTTTAAACTGAAATAATAATCATTAAAATCATCGTAGAAACAAAAATATATTACAAAAGTAAATAATGATAGTTTTATTATTGTTAAGATTAGAAATAATTTTGGAGTTGACATCCTTATTTATGCGTGGCGGAGTCGGTGGTATCAAAGACAGCCGTCCCTCACAATAGCCGACCGCGCTAGTGTTGTAAGAACCTCGAGTCTTTAAAGTCTTTATTTTGAGACTTGAGTTTATTTTTAAGACTAGGACTCGTTAGTCACATGAATAAGGGAATAATTGAGTCTTCCGAGTCCTTTCGAGTATTTTAACTTCTTTGAGCTAGACTGAATCATGACATGAACTTGAGTTGGTGTATACTAATAGGCAATAATGAGTGATACAAATGTAATAGGTATCAATAAANGTGAAATTTAGAATTACGGTTATTATTACGTTAAAGCAGCACATTTTTCATGTTAATTTTAATCGCTTAATATCCCCTTAGCAAATTAAAAAATGTGATTCGTAATTGACTCGATCATAGCAGAAATTAAACGCTATCGAATTATCTACCTGTGATTATCGGCAGTTTTTAGTATTCCGAAGTAAATAAATAATTGTTCCCAACTATCAATTTCCAACTGAAATAATAATAATTAAAATCATCGTAGAAACAAAAAAATAAATTTATAAAAGTAAAGAATGATTTTATTATTGTTATGATTAGAAAGAATTTTGGAGTTGACATCCTTATTTATGCGTGGCGGAGTCGGCGGTATCAAAGACAGCCGTCCCTCACAATGGCCAATGGCCGACCGCGCTAGTGTTGTAAGTAAGAACCTCGAGTCTTAAAAGTCTTTGTTTCGAGACTTGAGTTTATTTTTAAGACTTCACATGAATCATTGAGCCTTCCGAGTCCTTTCAAGTATTTAAGTTCTTTGAGCTAGACTGAATCATGACATGAACTTGAGTTGGTGTATACAAATAGGCAATATACAAATGTAATATCAATAAAATTGCATTAAACGCAAATAATCGAATCAGAAGTATCCATCTAAAGACTGACGATTTTCTTAATCAAAAAGTTAAAACGGTCCAATAAAATAATAAACACACAGTCTTAATTCATTGCTATTTTATTTTCTTCAAACTTTTAATAAGTAAGATTCCAAGACTCGAGTGTCGTATCGTACAACACTAGCCGGCGACGCAGCAAACGAACTTGCCGCCGCCTTTAGACACGTGCCGCCGGCCGCCGGCCGCCGGCTAGCGCAATGTACAGTCACCAAAATAAAATTAAGAAATGCAACAAACTTTTTTTTACTATTCAAATTAAAATTGTGTTTATTGTTAAATCACAGGTACATAAGATAGGTCATAAATAAATACCAAGTTGGAACGGAAATGATTCGGAAATTTTATTTAACTAATTAGGTACCTACCTACCTCATCTACTTTTCTATTGTAATAGAAATGATGACATTAACGATTAATTTAAGAATGGACTTTGATTTAGGATAAATGGAATATCAATACAAACAAATTGAAGAGTTTTATTTGCTTCAATAGTCTAATTTAATGTTTCTAAATAATTGACTAGGCCATTGAATTACCTTCACAAAACAATAAGTTCGATTAATTTTTAATTATTATCTGTTATAGGATATTTTACCATGAAATACTCAACACCACAATTTAGATTCGAATCAATTGAAATCGAAAGCAAGCAGATAAAATAATAAACAAATAAGTTTCTTTTTTGTCGACTGTACGCTTATGCCAACTTTTCGGCTCTTGCTTTGGCGGCGTCGGCGTCTTTGTGTCAACAAAAGGCGTGCGGCTTGTCGGCATATGTCGGCGCGTGCGCTTTGATTTAATTCAGTTTTTGACTAGCTTTCTTGTGTGAAGGTGCGTTTTGTAGTGCTCGTGAAGTGAACTATGACGCACAGATGCACAAATGCAAATAAATTTACTAAGACGCGCCTTAAAAATCATGGCCTTTGCTGGTTGATTTTTCGATGGTATCGTGAGTCCGTTTTGCTGCAGCTGTGACGACTGCTGTGAGTTGTTATGACGTGAGTGTAAACAACAAAAAAGTGTGCAGTGGTAGTGAGCGTTGTGTGTGTTGTGTCTCGTGTTCCTGTGCAGAATGAATACACTACAGCTTTGTTGTGTGAGTAAAAAATACAGCATGTTCCATTATGTAAGACGAAATGAATGTTTATTTTTGTTAGAAAATGTAACTTTGTAAAATCATTATAAAACACATACTTACTCAAATTTGGTGAACTTGTTCAGTGTACCGTATAGATGCCCCCATTAAAAGGAATGTAGCTAGTTTAGAAGGACCCTGTATANGATTTAATTTGATTTTAATTTGATTTTAATTATTTAATGCAATTATTATTATTATTGAAATTTTATGGGCCCTGGCCTGAAATAAATGAATTTTAATTTTAATTTAATTTAATTTTAGTTACTTCGCTTATAACTCAAGAACGGCTGAACCGATTTAGCTGAAAATTGTCAGGGAGGTAGTTTAGAGCCAGGAGAAGGACATAGGATACTTTTTATCCCGTTCGAAATTAAAAAAAAAATCTGCTTATTTATTGCCATTAAGGCGGAACAAAGTTCGCCGGGTCAGCTAGTTATAGATAAATGCAAATATTGTGAAAAATAATACTGTGGATAGAAGATAAGGATACAATTGACAACCATGCTAAAATCTATCTACTATATCGACCTCTGTGAGGCGTTTGCAACCTACAAGAGATTTAAGTTGGAAAACTAAATTGGAAGTACAGTGTGCCTACCATGAGTTTACGTTAGGTGTGCTCGCTAGCGACTGCGTAAAAAAATGACATTTAAATGTATGACATATTGTGCAGCGCCCCTAGCGGCTACTTTCAAGAAATAAAATCTTCATAGAATTTTTTGACGTATTCGCTAGCGAGCTCACCTAACGTAAACTCATGGTAGGCACACAGGTATACAAATGGAGCACACAAAAGTGACTTGGAGTTTTAAATCATATTTTTTATCATGTCTCATACAGACAATAAATTGGAATATGTGCGCAGAAGAATCAAAAATAAAACCGTCCATAGCATTATAGGGTCTTCCCAGAACTGAAAAACAATGGTACAAAAGCGAACTGTAATTTCCCCTTTCTACTCGACACAATTACGAGTATTACATTCGTACAGAAAATTTATCTTAAAAAAAACATTCATACCACATTCTGTAACAATTTAAACATCTCGTAATACCGATGCAAATTTTTTTCGCTAAAGAACGATTGGTCAAAGACCTTCTCAAAATACAAGCACGTGTTACAAGCAAGTGTATGTAATAAGATGGAAAAATGTGCATTGACTCATTTTTACTTGAATTTTGAATACAAAGTACATGGATTTGCTCACTGTCAAACAAACATCTTAATCACCATGCTCTCGTATAGGAACACGCGTGTGCCTAAGTAGGTACATACCTATTACAAAAACTGTTAATAAATTACACATCACTTACGATAAAAATAGTGGATTCATATTATTTAACCATTTTTTTACGTAATTTAATATTCCGGACATTATTTTACATTAAAACCACTTCTCAAACTCGTTACGGTGATATTATTTTGTATCGCCTAATAAAAAAAATATACTACGTAAATGAGTAGTTTTTCTTGGACTTATGGCTTTGTAGGTACCACCATAACCAACACTTCTATCAATCAAAAGTTACTTTATGAATGTGACTTTGAAGAATGAAGAAAATTAATTTAAAGAAAAACTTGAAAAAAAAAACTGGTAAACTTTATCACTTTTACGGCTCTCGTACACATACCAGGGTTCGAAATTATCAAGATAATTAGTTAATTACGCTTCATGATAATTATCAGACTTTATGGTATAACATAAGCAGAATTACAGTCTATTGAATATACAGACAAAACCACCGCGTAAAAGTTAGGCTTACGTTATACGGGACTATTCCCACCTCTCGTTCCCACCACTGCAACTCCTGTGTAGCCAAGATCTACAGCTTGACCGCCACAAAACCCAATCAATGAAGGTCAAGTTTGTCCCGGCTTACGTTATATCATAAAAGCTGATTTTTATACATATAAAATATTAGGGCAATCATTAGAAGTAGTTTTCTCATCAGCCAGATAGTTTTGACAGTTCCAACTCCTTGCCAGTTTTTTAGGATAGCTTCCAAAGCACTATGACCCAAGCTTCATGATTCACTAACATTTTATCCTATATTGGAACTATTGGAAGCATACGCTGACAAACTTTCAGCTTTTATAAAATGACGTAGGACTGGCGTTCACTAGCTCTTAGTCTAAATAGTATTAAGGCAAGAAAAAAGAAAAAAAAATAAACAAACAATACACCAATATTATAGTATAGTAACAATAAACACTCACCTTCTCCTGGACTGGCTGTTACTGCAGCTGTTCGAGTAGGCCGAGTCCGACACCTTGGCATTATTCTCCGAATCGTCAAGATTATCCATGTTAGTTACGTACTGCAACAAGACAATAATTCATCAACAAAAATAACACAAAACCTTTTCAATCTTAACTTAAAATTTATAGAAATATTGTTAACTTTCGCCGTGCCGAATAACTTGAAAAAAGAAAAACAAAAAAAAGAACTCATTTATTTTTGCAAGTAGGCTTTTAAAAAGCACTTTACACATTACTTTTCACACTTTACTAAACACAAATGCAATCAAAAAGTGCATTGTACAGTGACAATTATTGCAATGTAACATATGCGTGCACAACCTGCAACCACATGGTGACCGCCTAAGATTAGCTTTCAGCAATCAAATGTCAAGTGTTACAAGAATAACACATTACAAATGTTGCAAAAGCAGGAGTCGCGACCGCCTTGTCTTGGGGAAAGCTACGACTGGCGAATATATTCGCCAAAACCCCAAAGAAACCTTTGGCCCCTTCTAACGCCTGCTAAGTTTCCCTCTCCGGTTGAAACCAAAAAAATGCATAATGAGTCTCAAGTCAAAAGTTCTTTGGGCATTTTAACATTAGGGAACTTTATTAACGCTTTTTTTACCGTGAAAAGGGCAACAAGTACCTTTGTCTAATGTCAAATGTAAGAATTGTTTCGATTCCATAGTCACATACTACGTCTATTATACCGCTAGGCAATGTAGTTTCATTATCAAATTAGGATTTCATTATCAAGCATTCATTCACTACTAGGAAACGTACCGACGCAATGAAGCTCTCGACTCAAACTGCAAGTGACAATCTATAGAAATCGGCGCCGCGGCGTCTGATAAATGATGGCTTGCATTCTTTGATAAAGTGGGTAGATGTCACTAGTTTTCTCTACTGGGCCCATTCTAAGATTCTAGAGCAGATTTTTGTTGATGTTTTGGTATTTAATTTCGGCTGGTCGATTTTAAAACCTAGTACAAGTTTAGTGTCCATTACACTTGCAGATTTTTGTTTTAGTCGGGCCCAGTTGCTGGAAAAAAAATTCAATCCAGCGGCTTGGCCCGTGTACCAAGCTAAAAGTGAGCCAAGTTAATGGAAGACTCACAATGTCAATAAAATTACATTTAGTTATTTGGCTATCAAAAGTTTGAGCGTGTTTTTTTGTAAAACCATTTCAAACTTCTTTGTAATTGCAATTGCAAATATCCAAAAATGAAATTAAAGTTTTAATTACGAAATTAATTTACTTAAAAATTTTAAAGTAAACTTTTGATTTATAATATCTTTTGCAACCGCACAAGCCCGCCTCCTTGGCTGCGCGACACAGGCCGCTAAGAAACCCTCATTCTTTTTTCAACGCCAGATTTATGTTTTTGTTAGTATAGTGGCTTCGTGCGGTTTGCTTATTTAGCCGTGTCAAGTAAATTAATAATTATTCCAATCCAAGTAATGAAAAGATTATAAGAGTGATGATTGATACATCCCCAACAAACTTCAAAATTGAAATTGGTTTCAATAAATATATATTATTATTTATTCCCTTGAGTTTCAATTAAGATGTTGGACTTTGTTGAAAGTTGAAACCTCACGCAGACTTCTTGAGAGAACTTGAAAAGCGATGTTGCACTGTTTCTTTCAATTTGCCTGCACTCATGCACTTTCACAGTCTTACTTATTATTAGGCCTCATAAGAAGGCTCAAGGTTACCCAAAGGGCGATGGAGCGGGCTATGCTCGGAGTTTCCCTGCGTGATCGAATCAGAAATGAGGAGATCCGCAGGAGAATCAAAGTAACTGACATAGCTCGCAGAATTGCTAAAATCAAGTGGCAGTGGGCGGGGCACATAGCTCGTAGAGACGATGGCCGTTGGGGCAGGAAAGTTCTCGAGTGGCGACCACGGGCTGGAAGACGTAGCGTGGGCAGGCCTCCTACTAGGTGGACCGACGATCTGGTAAAGGTCGCGGGAAGAGCCTGGATGCGGGCAGCGCAGGAACGTTCATTNCGTTAGTTTTATAAAAATATTTCCCATAATTATAAAATTAATTAAATGGCTTTGAAACTAACTCGTCAAAAATACCCAATACTCTCTATGCATGCTGCAATAAACCGAAGAAACACAGTAAAATAAATTATAATAAATAAATAATAATATCCTTGGACATTTTACATTGCGCCGCTAGTTCCAAACTAAGCAAAGCTTGTAATGGGTACTAGACAACGGATATAAATAAATACAAGGTTTTTTTAGTATATACGAAACCTTAAAACTATTTGTTCAGAATCAGTAATAGAATACACCGCATCCATCCAATAATATTTACAAATCCATAATTTACGGACACCTTATTAAAATGTTCTGCGCGTATGGAAAATGTTGTCAAAGCTTAACAAACATTGCGTTGTCAACAACGAAAGTGCCGCGCGCTGTACGATGTCTACACTCGCGTGCGGATAATGGGACAACAAATAAATCTTGGAACTTCGTGAGTTTTTAAGGTATCATTTTAATATATTTTTTATATTGATTCTAAAGATTATAATACGTGACACGTGTTTCGGCTTTCGTATATACAAAAAATAACCTTGTATACTTAAATACTTTTCTTTGTAAATACATACAATTACAAACTATAGATAGAAAACACCTAGTACAATAATACAAACGAATAATTTCATGCACACAAATGTTTGTACTATGCGGGAATCGAACCCGCAACAGCCGCATAGTAGTGCATATGAATATAAGAAAGAAATAAAAAAATTAAGATTGAAAAAGTAAAATGCTTTTTAATATAGTCCCCGAAGCACGAACAAACGTATTGTTCTCGATATGCTATGGTCATCTTTTTTTTTATGACAAACAAAACAGCGCTGCTGTATCTCTTTATAAGTTATACAATACGATTACTATACACTTACGAGTAGGTAGGTACGAGTCATTCGTGCTTAGGACACTTATACCTACTTCGAGTTGCGACCGCGTAAGCACATCAACAAGGCAATTTTTGCGAATTCGCATAAGCAACATCAAATCTAACAAGCATCGCAAAATAAAAGAAACTCAGCATTATCGCAGAAAAAAGAATTACAAAATGCATCATCGCTCTAATTTCAACTGTTCGTTAAAAACTTAAACCTCGTAATATGTCTGGCAACGTCAATCAATAGTATGATATTCGAAAGAAAAAAAATGTTTAGAACCTCGTACGACATTCGAAACATTTTTCCAAAAGACAAACGGCCTAATACTGAAACTACTCAAATCTTTCACTCAGCTGACGGGCTCCTAAATTTAAGTATCCTTCAATTTTAAATGGTATTCTCAAACGCCACTCAACGGATTTGAAGCCGTGATCAGCTAAGCAGCTCTCAAATGTTTACATAATGGCAATATTTACCAAAAAAAGTATGTTTTCATTTACACAAATGATAACTTTACGTTTTTTATCCATTACACGCAGCATCGTTTTGTTATGTATTGTCTTTTATGGAAATATACTCAATCAATTTAACATAGAACAGTTTATTTTTAGTTTCTATTATATCTAAATCTCATTTTATTATATAAAAAAATTAATGCTTGCATTTTTATTTAATTAAAAAGATAATTTTAAAGGTGATACTTTTTATTGTTGAAATCTATTAAGTGGCGATCGTGGACCGAAACGTAACCATAATTGACATTTATCATTGTTGACAGAGCATCAAATTGACAAATCAACAACTCTGCTATAGCTTAAATCCATTTGCGATGTCCCCATAATCCTCAGAAATAGGCATGTTTATGTAATGGTGCGTCCAGACTGGGAGAAATTGCTCGCGCGGCACGCTGGTCACTATACGATGCACAGTTGGCTGTTCGATGTGGAAGATATCACCTAGTACACGTTCATAACTTCCCGTTGCGTAAAACCATAGGGTTATANACCGTGGCGCCCCACTGTCAATGTCATCGACAGGACAGTCCAGTATTTTGGAACTATATGCGATGTCCCCATATACTTAGCCATATTCCTCAGAAATAAGCATGTTTATGTAAAGCGATTTCATAGCAGCTATTTTGGTTGTTACTTTGTGCACTATACGATGCACAGTTGGCTGTTCGATGTGGAAGATATCACCTAGTACACGTTCATAACTTCCCGTTGCGTAGAACCATTGAAGAGTACATTATAACTCAATGTGTAGAACANCGTTGGGGCAGGAAAGTTCTCGAGTGGCGACCACGGGCTGGAAGGCGTAGCGTGGGCAGGCCTCCTACTAGGTGGGCCGACGATCTGGTAAAGGTCGCGGCAAGAGCCTGGATGCGGGCAGCGCAGGAACGTTCATTGTGAAAAACCTTGGAGGAGGCCTTTGTCCAGCAGTGGACGTCATTTGGCTGAAACGACGACTTATTATTACTTTAGAAATTTATTTATGTATTTTTTTATTTAAGATACAGCTACAGAGAACAAACAATAATTCTAACAGAACTAAAGCTAAACATGACGCTTCCTTCACTTTCCCGCCAAGATTACCCCATCGCCGAATATCGATACGTTTTTGTTTTTGTTCTCGCGCGATCCTCGATTTTCCTCATATAGTTTTCCAGTCTCGATTTTGTAATTTATTGTATTGTAATAAATTATAATGAGATTTTACCACATGATATAGAGCAGTTCTTACATCTAGGTACCTACGAAACCCCGAAGCACGCGAATAGGCTCAACGAGCCACTACAGTATCAAACAAAATTATGGTTGCTACTGAAGATTTGCAAAAAATGCTAAGCTTTCGTTCGATCACAATGAAAGGTAAAAAAAAGGTACAAAGGTAAACTTGTTAATTTACGAGATAAAATCAACAATAGCCTTCCTTCTTTCGATATACGAAATAGGTATTGTTTTTAAGGACAAGCCAAAAGAAGTGCTTTAAATTTTTGAAACCTCAGTAGTAGGTACTTTAATAATGGCGAAAAAAGCGAAAGCAGGTCGAAGGTACCATGAAATTCGTGGAATCTTGACTTTGTTAAAACAAAAGAAACTGGATGTTTTTAAAGCACTGGATCAGCTTCAAGTTGAAG